GGGGAGGCGGGCGTCCATCGCAGGGGGGAGGGGGCTGCTTAGGCGAACGACGTGCGCAGCTTGGCCAGCGCGTTGTTCAGGTGCAGCACCTCCAGGTTGATCTGCGACACGCAGCTCTCCAGACGCTCCACGGAGTCGAGCACCTCGATGCGCTGCGTGTGCGGGTTGAAGCGCACCTCGAAGGGGCGCGACATGCCGGTGGACACCCACCGCCTGCACACACACCGCCGCTCGGCGTTAGCTCGCAACGCACTCCACTCGACTGACGCGGGGGCAATGAGGATACATTTCATCGTTGTATAGTAAACTCTCCTTAACGCGAATTCCAAGGAATTGAAGTAATCGCTGTTCTTGTCATAAAAATCCGTGTTATACTTTTATGTACATCCTCATTACTACGTTTCTTTCATTCAACTTTTTTTTCGTTTAAGGAAGAATTTCGTTTTAACAGAGTTCGTCCTAAAGGGAGTTTACTACAAATCCTAGCTTTTTTCTAAGAACTGACGGAATTGGAGCAACATAATAAGCTCATTTCACATTTCACAAATATTCAATATGTTTCCCTGCTCGCTTCAATTAAAATTTGAAATCTTCTGGTTAAAATGTTAGTAATGAAGTAAGCATTGACATAGAAGGTTTGGTTCAATTGTTACGGCAGCTACACGGAATTGAGACCGAAGTATTGTTGGTTTGAGTTTAGCTAACGAATTGTGTTTATAGGTGTACATGCTGTAGACAACACAATTAGATCATGATTTCTCTTTTTCATTTTATGTAACAATCCATTCTGCTCAAACATGACAGAATAAAAAAGCTGACTAATCTTAATATTGTGGTAATAAAGAATTGAATAATTGTATAAATACAGGTTTTCATTTTTTATTAGAAAGAGAATGGAATATTGTGACTCAAAATATTTAAAAGTTTTTTTCAGTGACTTGTAAGATTAATTATGTCTGCAATATGTATTTCTGGAAATAGACAAAATTGATATTTTTTAGATGTGTGTTATCGACCATAATGATGAATTTTGATTCTTTTCACTACTTGCTGAACACTCGTCTTTGTATCCGTTAGCGTTTCCGATTTAAGATAAAAGACATTTTGCGGTTGTAAAATTTATATAATTCCGCGCGTAACTTCAACGCTGTTTCATTCGCACGGGCCGCAGCTGGGAGTGCTCACCTGAACTTGTCCTTGGCGTCCTCGAAGCTCTCGGCCACGTAGTAGATGGGCTGGACCTCCTGGTCCTGGTAGGGCTGGATGGCGGTGAGCGCGGGCTCGAAGGGGCGGTGTTCGGGCTTGTCACTGACGGCGTGCAGCAGCTCCCGCGTCGAGGACAGCAGGCCGGCGCCGTACGCCTTCAGGTTGCCCTTCTCCTTGCACAGCCCGAACTCCACCGTGAACCAGTAAACCTGCACAACGCGATTTCAATTTAGCTCAGAGGCTACGTCATTTAGGCTTGAGGATCTTTTACGTGCAAGTAAATCTACTAACATGGGACAGCCGGCTTTACTTCCCCTCCGAAGGAAGGCGTACGGAGGATTGTTTCGCCCTTAAACAGTCCGGTACGCTAACACCATTACCGGTACATACCACCATCGTTTCACCATCACGCGTTGGGGGTCAGACACACTAACACAGCGGCTAAACAGAGGTTAGGGGGGCGGTTGGCCCGGTCATGCGAGTGACACCGATAAAATTAATTTTCATGATGAGAACTTCATGATTAGCTGTACTCTCAACACTTTATTACACTAAAGATCGTGGATAATTATTTAATCACTTAGCAGATAAAACAAATACTTGTTTGCAGACAAAATATTTCTGTATGCCGGGTCCAGACAACTAGTGAGAAACTGATTAAACTGGTTTTTAGTTACCTGTGGTATCGGGAACTATAATTTTTCAAACCGAAATCACTTCATTACGAATCAGTTCAATATATTTTCCTGTTTTCACCACAACTGTTTACTCCATCTATACTAACGTTGTTGGAAGTTCTATTTTATTTTTGTGTGTGTTTGATGTTGCTATAAATGAGAACGAGCATCAGTGGAATCTGAGAGAAGGGAAATTGAAGAATCATGAGTAGGCCCGCTGCGAACTCCTTTTATCCCCCACATATTCCATGCAGGGGAATAACTCATTGTCCCCTTAAATTCGATCTCTTTATTTCAAGCGAGGAGAAGTAGTTCTCACGTCCAAGGCTGGGGAGCTCAAGTCATACTTCATAATAACTGTTCACTTCAAGTAAAGACTGTAGCCTCTGAGCCAAACCCAATATGTGAAGAATTACAGTCGAGTTCAAAGTAATAAATTTTAATATAATGAAGTTTATTTCCTTTGTAAAGGAGTCATCCTGATTACGGAAATTTTCAAGTTTGTTCTAGTGCGAAGTGTATTTTTCCTCTGAGTCATGCAGAAAGATACGATTTACTTCCGTAATCTAGCCAAGCGGATATGACTCCAGACTTCTGTAATAAATACACTAACTGGCTGAACTAACTACTTCGTGGAAACCAGTGGGCATTCGAGATTCATTAATCACTATACATTCCGATAGCAAGGCATTTTGTAAAAGTTGCCTTTCAAACGGAAATGACATTTCAGGGACGCTCACATTCCACTTCGAAAGAAGTTTGAAATGCTCTTTCATGCATTGGCCGTGAAGCTTCACTTGGCGTGTGCTTACCGCTCGCTTATTTGGTCCTCGGTAATAAATTTTATCTTTTTATTATAGCTATGCATGTTCATACGTGTTCAAATAACTGAATTTTTGCGATAACAAAACAAATTGTTGCGTCAGTTTTATTAAACTTAATTGTGCAAATGAACTTCTCTGTAATTGTATTTTTGGCCACTTCTGAGTAAATTAAAATTTGTCATCATTTCAATTAATCCCAATTAATTCTACCCAACACCAACGAAGGACCTGTTTATTCCATTCAAGTTGCGTAGTTTTGAAAAGTTTCCACACGATCATGAAAGTTCCGTGGTCCCCCATTTCGCACAATTGCATTCCACTGTCACTCGCTTTGGAGGCTGTTCGCTGTACTCACCGTCGAGAGCTTCTCGATCTCAGCGTCGGACGCTCCAAGCGACGCCAGGCCGATCTCCTGCGAGAACTGTGCGAACTTGGGGTCGGCGAGGAGGGGCATGTGGCCGATCATCTCGTGAATGCAGTCACTGCAACAGACAAACGAAACCATGTCATTCTCTCAAACGGTTAAATAGTTACCATACTGTGAATACAGACTGTGTATATATCAAAATCCTGTAATTTAAGATCTGAGAGTAGTAAATACTCGTGTTAATATTGCATGTGCGTAAGCTACGTTTTCAATTGAAAACAAACAACTGAGAAACGATTTCAATTTTCACATGATGAGTATTTCAATTTTAATAAAGCAATGCAAAGAATTGAAAGAATAAATACACGCATAAAGTAATGAATAAATAATCCTAATGGTTGATCCCAAGTAAAAAAATTAAGGATTACATTTTTTCCTGTACTTTTCTTTAAAAAAAAGCCGAAAAATGGGTCAGAGTACACACCATTAAAAAGGATCAATGTATACGTGGAGCATCTTTCAATATATATTCTAGGTAATACATAGTGTGGAGCCCAGCCCTTCCATTATCCACGAGGGGCTGTCTTCACTATTATCCCGCTCAATCCCCCTTTAATGAAGAGTTGGAGACTTGGGTGGCGGCGAGTTGCATCGGCTCATGGGCAGCGCAGTACTTCCGGCGCGTGGGCGACTGAACGGCGCGGGGCGTGGCACCGCGGAGGGGAGAGAGCGTGATGGAGCGAGAGAAGAGGCAAAGAAGAAGGGAGATGGAGAAAGGGGGGGAGAGGAAGCGAGGTGACGGTGGCAGAAGACGCGCTAATCGCATTAGGCGGCGTAATGGATCCGGGAGCCCATGAGGGGGCCTCTCCCAGTCATCGGCCCCCGTATTGACAGCCAATTAACAGTACCCCCTTTAGCACGTTGTTATTACGCATCTCTAACTCGATTTCCCGTTGAAATAGCGCTATGCGGGTTCTCCCCCAGGCCACCTCCCTTCGACAGAGTTAACGCTGTTCCCTGGCAAAGGACCTGGCCGTTCTGGCGAGAGAGACTGCCCTCCATTTTTTATGATCGTGTTTTAATAATTGTATTGCATGCTGGCATAACTCTAGAAGAAGTATGTTCGTACGGATAGGAAAGTAAATACACATAACTTATTTGGAAAAATGCTAGAATAGCGGAAAATTATAATTCAAACATTAAATTTGGATTACTGGCCTTTATGAAAACAAAGATTGAATTCTTATTTTGTATTAACTTAAAAAGGAAAAATATACAACTAACTTCAAAACCCTGCACTCATAAAATAGTCTACGTATGAAAATTAATTATATAATATTACGATTCATCAAATCGAAAGATTTATCTATCAACCTCAAACGGCAGTGGAAATTTACTGCTTACATCATATTACTTTTTTGAGCCAGTGAAATTTAGAGTGGAGAAATGTGTTTGGGGGAAAGTGGCACATGGCTCGATAGGACTTTGTGGCAACCTGTCACGATTCTCGAACTCAGTAGACCTGAAAATACGCGGACAATACATATCAGAAAGTGCTCTGGAGAATAGGGGAATAAAAAAGAGTCTACCGCATTTTCTGTCTCCACGCTACCTCTCGTCGCCGCCTCTGTCTCTCTCT